GGGGCAGAGTGACCAACCCAGTGACCTGACAGAGCCCTGCTGGGATGTCACACAGCCCCTCTGGGATGTCACAGACTGCTCTGTGATGTTACAGAGACAGTCTATCATGTCATAGCTTCTCCATGACTTTACATCCCCCACTCTGTGATGTCATAGCCCACTCTGTGACCTCATGTTACCAGATGATCAATTGTCTCCCCCAGGTAAGCTCACACCTGGAGATTGTTCTCCACAACCCCAGGCCTGTGGAAACCACACAATGCCCATTGTGTGAGAAGGGGAACTGGAAGCTCACCAGCCTCAGTGTCCTGCCAGCTCAGCCAGGCCCACGGGAACACTGGGGCCACAAGCACCAGGGACCACCAGAGAGACCCCCAGGACAGAAGAACACATGGGAAAAGGGGAGCATAAACATGTTAATGATTTTGGGAAATGATTATCATATGTGTGTTTAGTCAGGGAAAATAAATGCATATGTATGCAAAATACAGAAAATAAACAGAACTTTCCTGTACTCAGAATGCACAGCTTTGGGAGGAGCTATAGCCCGTGCATCCAGCTGAATAAAGAATAATGCTTCTTCATGCTACATTGGGTTTAAGGAATTTTCTGTTTTACCAAATTTCTGGTAACACTCCCACTGCCAAGGAAAGCTCTGTCTGCTGCTGTTCACAAACAGAGAAGGGCTGGTGGCAGATGTGGGGCTCAGAGGCTGCCTGGGGAACAGTGACCATGAAATAATCAAGTTTTCCATGTTCTGTGAGAGAAGGAGGGGCAGCAACAAAATTTCTACACTTTAATTAGGAAGGGCAGACTTTGGCCTATTTAGTATGCAGATTTGGGGACTACTAAATCAGGTCCTGATTTTTTGAAGGGAAACAGCCCTTAAAAACAAAGAGGTCCAAGAAGGATGGACACATTTCAAGAAAGTAATCTTAAGGGGGAAAGAGCAGCCTGTTCCAGTGTGGCAAAAGATGAGCTGGTGAGTAAAATTACTGGCCATGTGGGAATCCTTAAAACACAGGGTTTTTGGAAAGCTGCAAAAGGCATGCCACTGAGAAAGTGGAATTGTGATTTGAGCTAAGCAGTAGCCATGAGATAGGTCAGCAGGAAAATTATGTAAAAAGTAGAAAACTAAGGACAAATAGAAAAATGGTCTGTGTAATAACGCTTGTCTAGAATAACTCCCTAAGCTACAGAGAAGTTTATCTTGCAAGATATTAGGAAGTTTGAAGATTAATAATGGAGCTCTATGCATTGTGTTTTAAGCCTTACATGCAGGTATTGTATTCGAAATAAGCAAGCATTGTTTTAACCAAAGGTACATGTGCCTAAAGTGATTGGATAGAACTACTGTCAATATACTTTTACTTTGTGTGATTTGTCAAAAAACTTTTAAAAAAAGTTGTAACATTAAGTTCTCTGTCTACTGCCTGGGCTGTGAACTGATGGCATCTTCCCATTGCCATAACCATGTAATGAGATTGATGCTTGCAGTATCGGTGGTCTCTGGGCTTATATGAGTCCAAACCCGGCTCACCCAATACCCAAGCCCACACAGAACCACATGAATGAGATAAAAGACGAAAAGCGCTCCCTGTCACGTGAGTCAAAGTGTCCAGTTTATTCGTGTGGGACAAATCACCTGTGGAGTAGGCGACCACCCAAGCAGCAAAGAGGGCGTGCCTCACCTGCGGTGAGGTTTTATGCCCCAGGTGGTGGGGGTGGGGAAAGAGGACCACAGTCAATGGGATAACACTGGGGAGGGGCGAAAGGAGGGACCACCTGTGGGGCAGACCACCAGGCATACAGAGACCAGGGGTGTGAGGGAGGAACCATGTGAGGGGGAATATACCATCCACGTGACCCAATAACATTTTTTCCCAACACTCGGTGCAACCAACTAAATATCTAGTGCAATACAACAGATGCTGAAAAATAAAACAGCTCAAGGAAAGTTCCTAGCTGTCCCATCCTATTTGTGAAATGTAAATAGCCCCTGGCCAGCGATATGGCCTGGCTGCCCATGGAACTTTTTTGGGAATTCAGGGCAAAAAGGACCAGCAACTCAGGAAGTCTTTAAGAATATCGTTACATTATGCAGAAAGAAAAGTTGAGAGGTGAAAGCTCAATTAGAGCTTAACCTGGCCAGCGCTGTAAAAAAAAAGAATATTAAATTGTTTTTATTAAAAAAAATTATAGCAAAAGTAGGGAGAAGGAGAACCTCTACTCTTTTTTGGATGCAGTGGAGAATATAGTAACCAAAGATAACGAAATGGCTAAGATACTTAACACAGTATCTGTCTCAATTTTCAATATTAAGACAGGCTGCCCTCAGGACAAGAGTTCTCCTGAGCTGGCAGATGGGCACAGGGAGCAGAACAGCCCCCTGTAATCCAAGAAGAAGCAGCTGGGGACCTGCTGAGCCACTCAGGTGCTCACAGATGTATGGGATCAGATGGGATCCAACCCAGGGGGATGAGGGAGCTGGGGGATAAGCTTCCCAAGCTGCTCTCCATCATTTCCCATCAGTCCTGGCTCACCAGGGAGGTCCTAGAAGACTGGAGGTGCCAGTGTGAGCCCATTCCCAAGAAGGGCTGGAAGGGGAAATCCAAGCCTGTCAGTCTGACCTGGGTGCCCAGCAAGGTTATGGAACAGATCACCTTGAGTGCCATCACAGGGCACCCACAGGATGGCCGAGGGGTCAGAGCCAGCCAGTGTGGATTTCAATATCTGCAATGATGATCTGCATGAGAGGATTGAGTCCAGCATCAGCAAATTTGCAGATGACACCAAGCTGGGTGTGAGTGTTGATCTGCTGGAGGGCAGGAGGGCTCTGCAAAGGGCCCTGGACAGGCTGGATCCAGGGCCCAAATCCAACAAGATGAGGTTTAAGAAGACCAAGTGCTGACTCCTGCACTTTTGCCACAACAACCCCTGCAGCACTACAGACTGGGGACAGAGTGGCTGGAGAGCAGCCAGGCAGAAAGGGACCTGCAGGGACTGATGGACAGCAGGCTGGACAGGAGCCAGCAGCGTGCCCAGGAGGCCAAGAATTGCAATGGCTCCTGCCCTGAAACAGGTATGATGTGGCCAGCAGGAGCAGGGCAGGGATTGTTCCCCTGTGCTGGGTACTGGTTGGGCCGCACCTCAAGGGCTGTGTCCAGATCTGGGCCCACTGGAGTGGGCAATAGGAAGAAATTTGTAGCAGGAAGAATAAAGAAAACAAAGGTGAAGCCAAGGAAATGCTCAGGACAGTTTGGGGGTGGCTGCCAGGCAGCCCTGGCTCTGAGCAACAGCCTCTGCAGTGGGACAGGAAACTCCCAGCTGATGGGAACAAACTTGCTGGCTGACTGCAAAGGCCAGGACAAAGCTGAATGGTTTCCCTGGTGTCCCCCAGCCCTTGCTGGCCCCAGGGCTGATGGCATTTGTGCTCCCTCAGGTTCATGTCCCCACGCCAACAGCATGGGGGTGCTCCCCCTGCTGTGTGCAATGCAAACAGGGGCTGCTGAGCCAGTGCTGCCGTGTCTGTGCCTGCAAGGATGGGGCACCTGTGTGAGCTGGGGGAGAGGCCAGGGCTGCAGAGGGGGGATGTTGTTGGCAGCTCCATGAGGACACTCTGGGTCGCTGCCCTGGGCTGTGCAGCGCACTGGGGATGGATCAGCCCCTGCTCTGCTGCTCCTTCCCGTCTGCCCCAGGGCCCTTGCAGAGCCCCAGCTGTGCTGTTTGCCCCCAGCCTGCCCACGGCCAGCCTGGGGCTGCTCACAGGGCTTTTCTGTGCTGAGCATTGGCCTGGGTGTGTTCTTGAGAGAGCCTGGGCAAGGAGCCTGGAGCCCCCAGGCCCTGGCCTGAGGCGTCAGCGCTGCCCCAGCAGTGCCCATGGCCTGTCCCCGCTGCAGCCCTGGCACTGCCGCCCCCAGGGCTGTGCCCGGCCCTGGGAGCACTCAGGCCCTGCAGCAACACCAGGGCCACCAGGGCAGCGGGGCAGGGCCATGGCAGCAGCACTGGCAACACCAAGTGCTGCTGCTGCTGGGCAGAGCTGCTGGGCCAGCCCTGATCTGCCCCCAGCTCTGCACACCGACATTGCTGCTGCAGCTCCAGAGAAGGCAACAAAAGGGCATCTCTGTAGAAAATTCTGCTGGGAGATCCTTTATTGTGGGATCTCAGCACAGCAGTCCTGATGTGCAGAGTCACCAAGATAACCCTTGGGGGGCTCGGAGGTCCTGGAATGTTGCCAGAAGTGTCTGGTGGCTGGACTTTGATCCTGCACGGGAGACGACACCTGTGTGAGGATGGGAGGATCACACGGGGATAAATGGTGAAGGGATAGGTTAATTATAGTGTGAAACACAGGTTTTAGAATTTCGGTACAGGGGGGTTCTAGAGAAACAAGATGGAGGAATTAGGGCGTGTCCTGTCCTTCTTCTTCTTCTTCTTGGCCTCCATCTTCTGTGGTGGTGGTGGCACTTTGGGATTGGTTCTTACTAAAAGTGCACTTGTCAATAAGGGTGAAAGGTATTGGGGAAAATAGGTAAATATCTTATACGTAGTTTTGGGTATAAAGATAAGTGACCACCCCGAGGGCTCTCAGTGTGCTCATGGCCGACGTGCTGTGCGGACCTCTGTCGGGCCGAGAGAAAATATTGTAGATAAAAACTAATAAACACTGAAGACCGAGAAAAAACCTGAAGACTCTTTTCGTCCTTTGGAGCGTGGGCTGTCCCAAGGCCATCCCGAGCCTTTCCAGGCCATCAAAACCAGCCGAAAACGGGACACTTTATTATCTTTAAAGTCACCCAGAGCGCAGCCCATCATTGACACAGTCTGGGGCTACAGGGAATTTGGAGAGAAACACAATGAGAAATAGTACAAGGAATGACATTTCTTTGTGGACAATATGAAAAAAGTGAAACAAATAAACACATTGTCCAAAATTAAACAAACAAGTAGTATGAAAGATTACTTTTATTGCAAATGATTGACAGGAATTTTACAGCCGTTTATTGTGTCTGGAACCATCCAGTCATCAGTCTCCACACTGCAGCCTTGAGCTGCTGGTTCCTCAGGCTGTAGATGAGTGGGTTCAGGGCTGGAGGCACCACCGAGTACAAAACTGACAGGGCCAGATCCAGGGATGGGGAGGACATGGAGGGGGGCTTCAGGTGAGCAAACACAGCAGTGCTGAGGAACAGAGAAACGACAGCCAGGTGAGGGAGGCAGGTGGAAAAGGCTTTGTGCTGTCCCTGCTCAGAGGGGATCCTCAGCACAGCCCTGAAAATCTGCACATAGGACAAAACAATGAACACAAAACAGCAAAGTGCTAAACAGGAACTAACTGCAATGTGCACAAGTTCCTTGTAGTTTGAGTGTGAGCAGGAGAGCTTGAGGATCTGTGGGATTTCACAAAAGAGCTGGCCCAGGGCATTGCCGTGGCACAAGGGGAGGGAAAATGTATTTGTCATGTGCATGAGAGCAGTGAGAAAGGCACTGGCCCAGGCAGCTGCTGCCATGTGGGCACAAGCTCTGCTGCCCAGGAGGGTCCCGTAGTGCAGGGGTTTGCAGATGGACACATAATGGTCATAGCACATGATGGTCAGGAGGTAAAAATCTGCTGAAATGAAAAACAAAAAGAAAAACACCTGTGCAGCACATCCTGCATAGGAGATGTCCCTGGTGTCCCAGAGGGAATTGTGCATGGCTTTGGGGACAGTGGTGCAGATGGAGCCCAGGTCGCTGAGGGCCAGGTTGAGCAGGAAGAAGAACATGAGCGTGTGCAGGTGGTGGCCACAGGCTATGGCGCTTATGATGAGGCCATTGCCCAGGAGGGCAGCCAGGGAGATGCCCAGCAAGAGGCAGAAGTGCAGGAGCTGCAGCTGCCACGTGTCTACCAATGCCAGCAGGAGGAAGTGGCTGATGGAGCTGCTGTTGGACATTTGCTGTGGCTGCACATAGGGACCTGTTCATGGAGAAAAGACAGTGACAAGTCAGGAGAGGCTGCCTGGAGCCAAACCTGGGCCATTCCCTGCAGACTGTCGCACTGGGACTCACCCACCCTTGTTCCTGCTCTGGGAAAACCTTCACCCAGGTCCCTGCCTGAGCTCCAGTTGTGCTGGCTGAGTGTGCCAGGAGCAGCCAGGCCTGCACAAGGGGCCTTTCAAGGAGCCATCCCTGTCCCTCTGCCCTGGGTTTGTGGCCATGTGGCAGAGGCGCAAGGCTGGATATTCAGGATTTGTCCGGGAAATCACTCCTAATGCTGAGAGGCTTGGTAGCATCTGCACTCGCAGTTCTAACGGAAATAGATGGCAGGAGTTGGTTTTAGGAATTATTTTCCTATCTACACATCATTCCTGGCTCTCTGAGGTCAGATATCCCCAGCAGTTCTGCTGCACTTAGAGTTTGCCACTGACAGATGGGAAAGGCAAAGGATTCCCTGTGGCTGAGGGAAGGTGAGGGGCTGGATGGGCTTGTTCCCAGCTGCCCTGGCTTTGCCCCTTTGGCTGCAATCAGAGCACAATCACACTCCCGGGTCACCCTGGGATAAACAAGTCCCTGCCCAGAGCAGAGGGATCCCTGAATGTCTCACTCTCTCTAAAGGTCTCTGAGCAAGCTCTCAGCACTCCCATGTGCCAAGGACACTCACAGCTCCATTGGAAACCCAGCAGCATTTCCTCAGCTTTTGCAGCTCTGCCTTTCCCTTTGGGACATTCAGGGAACTCCCAGAGGCTCTGGCACAGATTTCCACCCAGGAGGGCAGCTCAGAGCCTGGAAGGGCACAGCAAGGAGATCCCTGGCTGTCCCCTTGATGGGATCTCAGGGAGGGGGCCCAGCTCATTCCCCTTTCCCATGGACTGCTTTGCCCACAGCCCCACAGGTGCCAGGGAAGCTTGGACACCCCATTCCCATGGACAGCCCTGCCTGGCAGGAATGCCAAGGGCAGTGCCTGACTTAGCTGCTGCAAATGCCAGAGCCTCCCTGAGAGCAGCAGATAACAGTGACAATATCAGGGCAGGGCAGAACCAAGAGAAGATGTTGTGGTGCTGTGCCTGAGAGGGCAGGGCAGAAACAGCCGGGCACTCAGGACAGTGTTCTCGTGCCCAGCTGTGCCCGGCACCTCCCACACACCAACAGTGCCCTCATCCTGCCGCCAGCACTGCTCTCTTCAGCCCCCTCTCCTTCCCTGAGCATCTCCCTGGGCCTGGACATTCCCTCCTGAGAGGAGCCTTGTCCCTGCCAGTGCTCACAGAGCCCATCCCAGCCTGTGTGCCCTGTCCGGGGCCCTACAGAAACCTGCCTGTGTGCAGGGCCCTGGCTGGGGCAGGCTCTGTGTGCAGCTGGGCAAGGGCAGCTCAGGAGAGCCCTGCTGGGCCCTGCAGAGGTGATGCTGCTGCTGTCCAGGACTGAGGAGTGGCTGAGGGCCCTTTAGGAGGCTCCCAGCAGAGAGACTGACCAGCTTAATTTACAGTTCTGCAGTCCCTGTAAATGTTCAAACATTAGTTGTATGATTCTGTGTGTCCCTTTCAACTCAGAATGTTCTGTGATTCTGGGATTACAATTCCTGTTCTTCTTCTCTCATCCCCTTGTTTTTTATAATCAAAAGAGAAAAAAAAACCAAAACCTTGCAGCAGTGTTAGAACAGTAAAGTAAAAACCAGACATTTATTGGAAGATTTCAGGTGTCCCAGTGGGTATGGGGCACACCTGGGGCCTGATTTACACAATTTATTGAGGTTGATTAATAAAGAAAATTTAACAGGAACATCCAATAGGAGATTCACTTACCCCAGTTACACACCCCTGGCTCAATCCATTGGAGTAGGTCCAAGGGCTTCTTTGCCTTCAATTTTTGTTATGACTGCTCACATTCTGGTTCAAAAACAAAATGTTCTTGTAGGTTCTCTTCCTGATAATAAGACTATACAGGATACTATATGTATTGTATACTATATGTATTTCAGGAATGCATTTAGACAATCAGCTTATTTTTCTAAAATCAAAGAAAAAGCTTAGGGAAAATATTATAATGAATACAGGATTTTAGTTATAGAAGTATATAATAGTAATAGAGTTCATTAAAAGTTTAATAGTCCTAAAAAAGGATTATAGATTTATAATTATGTAATAGTAATTTACAGAGCTACAAATATATGAAAGATGTATAAAATGAAATAGCTTTTTGTCATCACCCCAACTTTCCCATCCCTCTCCAAGCAGGAAATTGAAATCACTCTCAGGAAAGCTCCTCATCTTTCCAGCAATCCCAGGCTTACCTTCTTTGGCAAGTGTCCTCTGGAGCTGTGCCCAGGCTGGTCTGGAGCTGGGAGCAGCCCTGCTGCACCCAGCTCCTCTCAGCAGCAGCCCCTGCCCTGCTCAGGATGGCTCCTTCCCCCCAGAGCTTCTCCCCAGCGCTGGGAGCAGCTGCCAGGGCTGGCTGAGAGCTGTCCCTGGCAGGCAGCAGAGTCCCTGCCCCAGCACAGCGCCCTGGGCTGCAGGACCCTGCTCTGCAGGACAGCCCTGGGCACCCCTGGCTGCAGCCCCGGCTGCTCAGCCCTGCAGCAGAGCCTGGCAACAGAAGCTGCCTTGGGCTGTGCCTGGGCTGGGGCAGCAAGGAAAGCCAGCCCTGCCCTAGGGCCACAGCCCTGCCCTGGAGTAGCTCTGAGAGTCCTCCTGAAAGGTGCTAAAAGCTGTAGGATGTGCCAGCTCCAGGAGATCCCTGCAGGAACTGCAATTTCTCTTCCCACAGCCGGGGAATGACTGCTTCAAACCTGCGATGATTTCTGATCTAGTGAGCCCTGAGTGAGCTCTGCTCTGTGCTCCCAGCCCAGGCTGAGTTTAACCCCTCTGTGCCTCTGTGTTGTGCCCGGGGTGGCTGCAGGCAGTGCCCCAGCCCTGTTGGGCTGTGCACAGGAACTGCTTCTGGGCAGAGCTGTCTCTCTGCCGTGCTGCCCTTGCCAGGAGCTGCTTCTGGGTCAGGAGCCTCTGCGGGTTTTTCAAAGGACTTTGGTTTTGCTTTTGCCTTGGAGTCTCTGAGAGGTTTCTGCAATCATGGCCTCCAATTATCTGCTGTAATTAGTCCCTGGAGAGGCTTTGTCAGTAACAACATTCAGTGGGGCTCTTTTATGCTTCAGGATACTTCAGTTTTTTTAAGGTACTTGGTGTTTCCCTTTTGATACAGACTCTGTGAGAGGTTTGTGCAATCATGGCCCCAATTATCTGCTTTAACGAGTGCCTTGAGAGCTTTGTACTGACAGTAGTGCTCATTAATACTTTGAGATACTCAAGGTTTTTAAAGTACTTTCAATTTTCCTTTCTACACTGAGTCTCTGAGAGGATTTCATGCCATCCTCACCTCCAATTCTCTCCTCCAAGGAGTCCATGAGGAGCCTGTGTTGGGGATACATCTCAGTGGGACCCATTCATGCTTTGAGACACTTTGGGGTTTTCGTCCGTCTTTGACTCCTGGAAAGATTTGTGCAATCTCCTGTCAGACCCTGAGGTTCAAGGGCTCAGCTCCAAATGCACCATGGGGCTCATTATGACCAAGCACATCCTGGCAAACCATGGTTTTGCTTTGATTTCCCTCAACTGTAGTGCAGTTCACTAGGAAGTTGTTTTTCTATTGTTACAGAGAAATATTTCAAATAGCTTCTAATAAATTCACATTCCTATTTAAAGGGTGTATGGTTCTCTTTAGAGAAGAAATGATAGCAGCATTCTGTGACTGATAGACCCAGGGGCTTTCCTAAGCAGGTCTGGCCTGCTCTGAGAAGCTGTGCCTTGAGTTCTGACTCAGCATGGAGAGCCTTGCTCCACATTTCCAAACCCCATCCTGTCTCTCTTCACTCACCTGGCATCAGCTTAGCTTGGAGAACTGGCTGCACTCAGGCAAAGAGGGGGTTTTCTTCTTTTATTTTAGTCATCTGAAACTCCTAAGCTCCCTGTTGAAAACAGACACCCTCCTCAAGTGTTTGCCAAGCCCAAGCTGCCACCAAGACCACTCCAGACCTGCCCTGGGCCAGCTGTGAGGATGTGTGGAGGCCCAGAGGCCTACCATCAGAGTCTCAATCCCCTAAACATGGAGGACTGGTTCCAGATAAGAGGAATAGGCTTTCAGGTTAGGGTAAGACACTTTCTTCTCCCATTGATCTTTGCAGGCACATGATTTATGTCACTTTATGTTACCCCATTGGCCCATTGGCCTAATTACCCTAGTTCAACTCCTATTTCCCATGTTTGTTTAGCCCTAGAATGTTCTCTTATCTCTCTGTCCCTCCATTGGCCCTAGTTTGCTGTATTCCTCCACCCTTGTTTCCCTATTGTTGACCTGACCTTTGACCCCTCCTCTGCACCATTTTCCCCCCTATCCATTGGACTCTGACCCTCAGCTCCACCCTCACTACCCCATATAAGACCCTGTTCCCTCAGCCTACACCCTGTCTTCATCCCTGGACCCTGTTCGGGTGTGTACCCTGTTCCTGTACCAATAAACCCAGTTTGCTGAAGATCATACAAAGACCCATCCTGCCTATTCTGTCAGCTTTCTAATGTAGCAGCGAGCTTTGGGCTCATGAGTGCTGGACGCTTCAAGGGCCTCAGTAGAGTCATGATACTACACATGGCGCCCAAACAGGGACCAGATTCATTGAGGTCCCTGTGAGCGTCTCCAGCGGTGATCCTGCCAGCCAGATGTCACTGGAAGCTGTACGCCTTTGGGTCAGCCACAACACTGAAGTGAGACTCGAGTTCTACTGAATCTCACTGACATGGAAGTCGACAATCCTTTCAACATCCGTGGGACCAACTTTAGTGAGAGCCCCACAAGCCCCACTTTGGCTGAAGGTTGTGCCTGTGAGACTGAGAGTGAGTGACTGAGGGGCAGAGAGCTCCCAGGGGTTCGGGCTTTTGATTTTCTGTTCCTGTGGGTGGGAATTTCCTCT